TTCCCTACATGTGTTCATGTCCAGGAAAAGCAAAATGGAAAAAAGCATGTCAGACACTCGCATGACACTGAAGGAGACAATTGCTTGGAAGAGTAAGAAGAAATGTGAAATAACCATCCATGGAACCTGTGTTTTACTACTTGGGATTTAGTTAGTCAAAGATATACAAGGCTTTTCAACAACACTGGGTGCATCTATGAGACACTTAATGTGCAGTAGACAGACTACGCATTACAGTGTCATGGCAAAAGCCATGCTATTAGGCTAGTGCACAGCAGCATTAGTCTACTGCACATTAACTGTCATGGAAAAAAGTATACGATCACACTTATGTGCAGTAGGGCATCTTACTGTGAATTTTAGTGCTACCTTTTGCAAGTACTAAATTCAATGCGCAATAGGCACTGCACATTAGTGAATGTGTAGACACGCCCACTGCCCTACAACAAAACACTAACTGCTTTACGATCAAGTTTACTGTACTTCAGGTATCCAGCGTATAAGATTCTCAGCAAAGAAAAGTTAAGGAGCATGTTTAAAAAGTGATTACCAATGCAACATGTATTTACACTACAGTGAAAATATCAGCTAACGTGACATGATTCAGGTTTCATAATGGGGGTTAAGGTGATGTCGATGCTAAGGCCAGAGGTTGACAGCCCAGAGGTTACAAATTCAAGGCCACAGCAGAAGTGCTCATGGTGTGGCCTGTCAGAGTCCAACAAATCTGCAAATTCTGCCAAGTACCTTGTCGCAAGAACATGAAAAAAGAAAGGAAAGAGTTTAATAATGAAGTTGACAAAGGCAAGACAACTCACTAAGTGCTACTTTAAACACATGATTTAGAAGGAAAGTGTGGGCAAACTGTCTCAAGAGCAACAACATAAGTTTCATTTCCAGGTCCTTGCTCATTTCCTGGCCAAAGGAAAACACTGGAGCTGATAGGAATATAATGAGAAAAATTGAGGAAATGTTTTTAAGTGAAAAAACAGGACAAATGAGGTGACCAAGAAAAGTTAAACATCCAAAAGAATGCAGTAAATGGAAGAGCCACAATCTGATTCAAGGTTACAGTCTATACTTTAAGGCCACATTCTTTTAGATCAGGGGTGGGCAAAATGCGGCCCAGGGGCTGGATGTGGCCCACGAGGCCATTGTATCCGCCCCATGGGGCCCCTAAAAAATTTAGAAAATTAATATTTATCTGCCCCTGGCTGCCTATCATGTGGCCCTCGATGGTTTGCCAAAAGTCAGTAAGCAGCCCTCTGCCCAAAATAATTGCCCGCCCATTTTAGATGCATATCGTCAGCTTCTAGGATTGTCAACAAAAATGACATAAAGGACAAGACAGGACAAGATGAATCTCAATTTATAAGACACAGGACGAATTACTGACTTAGAAAGGCCATGTTCCAAAATAAAGCAAAGATTTAGCAAATGCATCTGTATTTGTCAGGTAACCCCCAAAAATAAGATCACGATTACAGATTTTCAGTTGCACTATAATTATTCATATTTTTTTACCAAGAACAATCAAGTCAATACATCAAAGATGATATAAATGAGTAAGTCCATAGTTTAATTTATATGCACTGAATTTCTATCAAAACTGGGTCACAAAGTTATTGTAGGCCCCAGTAAAACATCCAGCATACCAGAAAAGTACTGAAATTATGAAGAACCAGATCAGTAGAAGGGAAGCATAGCATGACATAAACCAGAAGTTTTCACCCTGGATCAATTTAATCCAAACAAACTCACCTGTCAGAATGAGACATAACTGCTCCTCTCCACTACAATCCACATAAACACAGTCTTTGCCAAGGTGATAATGTGTCACATCTTGACTCTCTAAATCCCACAGAGCAACAGTCAAACCTTTGGTACTCTCTGACAATGCAAACAGTGCACTAAATCCTGTCACAGATTTACATTCAAGTTTCATTATATCTTCTAATTCTTCCATATGGATTTTTTTCCACTGTCTTCCTGGATCATTATTTGCATAATCCTTCTGCGTTGATTTGGAAAGGGCACAGGCAATGTCTTCTGGAATGGAAGCCAAAGTCTCCTCTGATGCCTGGTATGTTTTAGAACCATAATGTTCAAGATGCGGAAAGTACTGGTACCAAGGTACATTAACATTAGATACGAAATTTGGAGACTCTGGTCTCTTTGACATGTTATATAGCGAGAATAAGTGTGCCTTCCATGACCTATTTTAACAAAGAGAGATTTAGACAAATCAGCCTGATTGCAAGTCATTTACATTTCAATTTTAAAAGCTTATCTTGACCAAAAAACTAATAGTAATTAAGATTTACAGATGACATTCAAAATCCTGCATTTTACCCTCAAACTATTACTCAAGTGTTTTAATCCAAACTATTTTAATACCAATTACTTATTTGGTGCAAATGAGTTGTATATTTAAAGCTACATTAGCTCATATATTTCACTTAGTACTTTATATTGAAGTTTTTTGGCTTTTCTCATAAATTGCCCAAGGACGTCACTACTGACTGATTTTTAAATCGTATTTTTAGCTAGAGATTAACTTTATGAGTTCACAGAATTAGTACAGCTTTAGCTTCAGGAAATTAAGGTTTTTAGTAAACTGTGTTCATCTCCAAGAATAGCTAAAGACAACATAAAATAATATGTTTGAACAAGAAATATTTAAGAGCATATGTATTCATTTATGTTAAATTTACAAACAGTTCAAGAAGAATTGTAGTATGATGCAAAGTCTACAGGCACTGGTTTAAGTGTAAACCAAAGAAATATAAAAAAGTTGTTGGTGTCTAAAGATTAGTTTGGAGCTTAGAGAAAATAAGTTATCATTTCAGACCATTTCCTAGCAGTAGTCCAAGAATCAGGTACATTTTTAAACTAAGGTGAACGTATGAGCTTTCGTGATAATTTCACTTGCACCATTTGCAAATTAAAAAAAAATAAATACATCAGTCATGCAGTAATAAACAAATTACCTAGATTACTTTGCAAGTGGTAATGCAACAGTTTGCTACAGAAAGTTTTTTGTTTGGGGGTTATTTATTTATGTACCTGTCTGTCCGGAATGGAAACTTCATAAATTGCATACTATAGTCAGAGCTAACAAGCTCATCTTCATCAATTCCCTCCAGTTGTTTAACAGGGAGACTTTCAAAACATCTCTTGCAAAGCAGATGCCCAGGAAACTGTCTGCAAACGAAGAAATAACATCATTCAAGGTTCACTTCCTCTAAAGTGTGTTTTTTAAGATCCAGGGGTGTAGGCTGTAGCTGTGTTGGTCTAAGGACATAGGCAGACGAGGTTCTTTGGGTGAATCTGATCTTTTATTAGACCAACTTAAATAGTTGGAAAAAAAATGTTTAAGCAAGCTTTTGGGTCCCCTTCACCATCTCGGAAGAGCACACACCAACTGCTGAAACTTCCTCAGCCTGATGAAGGGTTTTTGAACCTGAAAGCTTGCTTAAAATTTTTTTTCCCATCTATTTAAGTTGGTCTAATAAAAGATATCAGATTCACCCAAAGAATCTTGTCTTTTTAAGATACTATTTTTCTATGTACTTTTTTATTAACAAAGCCAAGAAATCCTTTTGATAAAAATAAAACATTAAATAATAGCAGAGAGAAACGGACCCTCTCAAAGTGAGAGCATTCTAAGTAAATGATTCATATCATACAAACCCAAAAAAGAACCTGTAATCCTTTTTCATACAAGCAACGCTTGCAGGGTTAGGCACCTGGTTATCAAGTCTTTGCTTAGCAGTACTAATATCATACTTTTAGAGACTTCTACGAGATGCTACTACCCAGCACTGTCTAATAATTCACAATAAATCTACTGAGTCTCTTGCTGCAAGAGTACGTTATTCCTACTTACGCAGGTGGCAAAACATATTCCAAAACAAATTAACCTATGAAACTGAAAGAAATCTGATTTGTTAGTAGTCTTCTAATATACTTCCCGGCTCATTCCTACCATAAAAAAAACTGATAGATATTTGGCTTTTGTCTACAACAGGGTCAAGATTAAGCAATAATTAATTTAACCAACCTATTAAAATCCATTTTGTAATTTTGTAACAAACATACCTGAAGTACAAATTTAAATCAACAGCAAGGGCATAATGAGAAGAATTGATTATCACAGCAGTGCTGAGATCAGGTGACACCTTTACTGACTTGAGAGATGATACAATGGTCTCCTCTGCTTTCTCATCCTGAGCATCCCTTTGGTAGAGTGCAACATTAATGTTTGCTAATAATGCACCATCAACTGTGTCAAATACATCTTTGTTCCAATGTCAAAGAAAGTGATGGATTTCAAATCGTCCAACAAAGAATACATAGAAAATGAGATAATTACATACTTTTACCTGACAGCCCATGGCAATATATTCTTAAAAGTTCCTGCACAACTAGATATTTAGAATTATTATATGTTTGTTTTGCTGTTGTACTCAAAGCAATAAAAGAACCTAAGCAGGATCAGAGGTCTATTGTGCTAGGTGCTGTACAGATACAAAATATGACCCACACAATGCATCAGAACTGACAGTTATATTTCAGAGGAGGCAATGTGTCACAGCTGCAGGTACTGAACTTCCTTTCTAGAGCCACCCTTCCCATCCCTGAATTTTGCACTAGGACAAAATGTATTTTCCTTATGATGTAGAACCAGTGCAAAACAAGTTTTAATAAACTGTGTCTTTTAGAACACAGAACAGCTTAAATTTTGGCAATACAAATTCCAAACAAATACAGTTTTAGATTGACTGGTTTAAAGTCGAATCAAACACTGTTTCAAAGGACTGACGTAAGCCTACTTGAAAAATGCTCACACTTTTCTTCTGGATGCAGCTATGCTTTGTTTTTAAACTTAAATTTAAGTAATGGACTCCAATTCCACGCAGGAAATTTTACCCTGGACAGAAATCCAGTTAGCAGGAAAAACTGCTACAGAATTTGATCAACTTCAAACAATACAATCAGGGTGTGTTGGAAAATACAACCTATTGCTTGACTTCAAAAAACATTTTGAAATTATTTTTTATAATCAAGACAATTATTAGAAAAATAGTTTTACTGATAAATTAAAAACTGAATATTAATATAAAAACCCGAACACTTCTGAATCTGCTTTGACTTTTGTGTATACGTAAAAGCATGTTACTATTTACAGTCAACTAACTCAGAGGAAAAGGAGAAAACAACATACACAATGCAAGAAAAAACTGGCTAGGAATAGATTGCAGCAGAACAGTTTGTGAAGCAAATGGTTGTTATCCTTCAAAATAACCAAGGTCAAGTTTCCTTGAAGAAACTTGGACTTAATCCTGATAGTGTTTTACTTTTGTAGCAGTATAATTTCACGCTTTCAAATTATTTATATTGGGAGACAGCTGCTATTACAAAGGATACATATCCAGCCAGAATTATCTAATAAAAACAGAATGCCTCTACATAGGTCCACATCTGCTACTCTTTCCAAGGCTTGAGAAGGCAAGTTAAGGGTAATGCAGTCACGTGCCTCTAATTCTGAATTTTCTCCAGGAAAAGCAAGGTACACAAGAATAAAGTTGTTGACAAGCAGTAACGATGTGTTGTTTTTAAACAATAATATCTTCAGAGATGATATTGAAGAAAGATCTGCAAAAGTAAACATAAGAATATAAAACCTATACACTGCTGGATGATAAGATATCCAAAAGGATAGTTTTGATGACAGTACATAATCCCAGCTCTTCTAATCTTTTTCATGTGATGTTTTCTATACTTTTAATAATTTTTGTTACTCTTCTTGGGGGTGTTGGTTGTAGCTGTGTTGGTCTAAAGACATAGGCAGACAAGGTTCTTTGGCAAGTGTGATATATTTCATTAGAACAACTAAACAGTTGGAAAAATTGTTCTTTCCAAGTTTTCAGGTACAAACACCCTTCTTCAGGTGTAGGGAGAGTCTGCAGGTTTCAGAGATTCATAGACGTTAGGGTCGGAAGGGACCTCAATAGATTATCGAGTCCGAGCCCCACAGGTGTTCTGTGCTCTCCTGGGTAGGACAGAAACCAGTATGTAAAAACACAGGTCTATTTAGTTGGTTTAAAAAAAGATACCACATTTACCCAAAGAACCTCATCTGCCTATGTTACTCTTCTCTATACTCAAATTTGTCCACATTTTTCTTGAACTGCGGTGTCCAGAATTGGACAAAGTGCTCTTTATATATGAGAGTTCACCAGTTCTGAACACAGCGAAAGAAAAACATTCTGTGACTGTCATGGGATGCTCCTGTTCCAAATAATTACCAACATTGCAAAATTGGGCTTTGGTAATCTTTTATTTCATACTTTGACCTAGAGGTGCGCCGATACATCGGTCCCATATCAGATCAGCACCGATATAAGCAAAATTGACAGTATTGACAATCTGTTTTCTGGCTGATGCGGCCGATAAATGCCCCGTGCACTCGTGCAGCCACAGCGCAGCACGCAGGCGGCCAGGAGCACAGCCCCTCAATGTGGAGAGCAGCTAGGTCTGGCTGGTAAGTCTGTTGTGGGGGAACAAGTGGGGAGAGGGAAGGGGCATGGGGGAGGTGCAGACTGAGGCCCTACTGCGGGGGAGGGAGTGGGGCTGGGGCAGGCGCTGCACAGCCGGGGCAGGGCAGGGCATGGGACAGAGCCATGAGCAGATCGTCCAGGGGGTGCAGGGAGGGAGCAGTGGCTCCTGCTGCTGCACATGCCCCAGGAGGGCATGGGGGCGCGTGCCCCTGGATCTCTGCGTGGGACGAGGATGGGCCGTGCTGGGCTCTTCCCGGCTGGGCTGGGGAAAGCGGCGGCAGTGCTGGGAGTGGGGGGGCTACAAACTGGTATTGGCCAATACGGTTAATTAAAAACCGGCCATTGCTATCAGCCCCAAAAATCTCTACCAGTGCGCCCCTACTTTCAACCACTCATTACTTTGCACCACTTTGCTGACCAATAGTTTCTTACTTCAGGCCAGTCCATTAGGACGACTGATAAGTAAGCACATACCTTATGAATACAGAGTTGAAACCGCAAACATTATAGACGGCATGAAAATATTTCACACACTCCTAAATGCCAGCCCTGCATCCCCTAATTATTTTAATAGCTGCTGGAAAAACAAAAAACAAAACTGGGCCCAAAAATCGCCAGAATTTTAAAAATATGGAAAACAGACTGAATGTACTCACAAATATTTTTAATTTCAAGGAGCTTTTTAAGCATATCTTCCTTACAGCTGTACAGGGCAGTCGTGTCCGAGTTGCCATCCTCTGTACTGAATTCATAGACAAGTAATGCACGGTTTTCACTAAGAACCAGTAGTTTTGACTTGTTTGCGGGGGGACCATCCTCACGGTCGGTGTCCTCCCACACGAAGCTACGGGCGCAACGTGCAACGCGTGTTATTTGTGCGCAGGACCGTCTTTCCAGCCGCAGCCTATTCCCCACGCGCCGGACCCCTACCCAACGGCTGCGAAGTGTACACACGCGCACCCCCCCTTTGGCTGCCGGGCGCATACACAAGTCTACACACCCAGAAACACACATATATGCGTACACACACACGCATGTCCACACAGGAACACGTTACATGCAGAAACATAGGTGTACATGTACGCACACCCACAAACCCTTACATACACCCAGAAACACACGTGTCCGCACACCCAGGAACGTGTACATGCGCGCACGCACATACAGACACCCTTACACACACAAACACGTACACACACGCAGATACACGTACACAGACCCTTACACATGCACAGAAACACACGTACATGTACACACACACAACCCCTTACACATACCCACAAAGGCACACACGCACAAACACACACCCCCTTACACACGTGCGTACACGCACTCGCACACACCCTTACACATAGAAACATGTGTACACGTACACACACGTGCATAAACACACACGGGTGTACACATGTGCATACACACACACACATGCATACACGTACGCACACCCTTACACAGACAGAAACACACTCATACACACCCTTCCACACACAGAAACAGACGTGCACACACGCGCACCCCCAGCCCGGGCTGCCCCTCACGCCGAGCGCTTACTCGGCGCAGGCTCCGGGCCCGGCGCTGCCATGGCCGCGGCCGGCTCTGCCCGGCGCCAGCCCCCGGAGGT